CTTCCCGGCGTGAGATTTAGAGGCCTGCCAGCCATAAAGATCCTGAATGCATAATACATAAACAAACTGCGTGCTCTTTTTTACAGAAAACACGTTAAAAAGAAAACAGCAAAAAGAAGAAGAAAACTCGTCTCCCTTCTTCCAAAGGGAGTCTTTCCAAAGCATAAGTCTTGCATTTTTATTTTTGATGGCTTTTTGCCTTTAAATATATGGGATGACTATTAATGCCCATATTCACAGCAGGGATTGGGGGAAATGGCGGTAAATTGTAAGCACATTTACATTATAACAAGGCCCATGGACGCGTTGTATTTCACACAGTTATTTCAACAGAGCTTGGACTCCCTCCAATTTAATTTTCTGAAGTTGTGTTGTGCAGCTGGGTCATCCCTGGTCTAATCTGGGAAATGCATCTCTTAAGGCTGTGGATCAGAACGCCTGCCTCCCAGCTGCCACCAAGGGGCATCATTTACAGCTACTGGGGTTCGAGGGCAAGACATCAGACCTACTTTATGTGGACACAGCAGCCTAGCTAGCTTCATAAACCCTAGTACAAAGTGCAATAATCAATATTTCATGTTTAATGACGCAGAGCCAAAATTAGTATAGATTTTATGTCTTCTACTCTTCGAAATTATGCAAACATTAGTAGCCCCCCATTTAGAGCTCTTATTATACTTCCATTTAAAAAAGATCTGGCGGGGGGATTGGTGAGGAAACCTATTAATATTTAATTGAATGATTAAGTAGTCAAAAGCATCAAAAGCGCATGTGGCTTTTAACTTTTGTTAAATAGTTACCCTTAGGTTAATATGGAATTATTCCCAACACACACACACAGAAAAAAGGTGATTTATGTGAGTGTCACTGGCTTTGTCATCCATCGCCACAGAATGAACTGAACTGTAGACTGTGTTCACATTTTAACTTTCCCTTGATGCTCTGGGGCATGCTGGGAATACTGTAACTCCAAAGAGTTAAGAGGTTGTATTTAGACATAAGTGCACGTTAGAGGAAAAGCAATATTGAAAAGATTTTTGATTTTAAACCCATCCAAACAACATAGCCTACTTATTTAGAACATAGATGGTGTAAAGATAAAGAAAACAAATCGACAAGACCGTTTGATTACTGAGCAGGTCCAGTAGCTGAGCATAGAGTCACAGAGATGAATTTGCCAGAGTCTCCTGCCTCTGTCCCACTGTGTTTGACAGGACATTTGGCAAGATTAGGGTGGGAAGGGGAGGCCAGATGCAGGAAATCAAATACCCTATCGGACATTCATTCTAATATTTCACTCGCAAGTTACTTCACAAAAACTCTCTTGGCAGTGGGTAGCATGACGAGTAGCTGGCCAATTTCTTACCATAATGGTATAGCTTACGCTCCCTGACCACTCATAACAGACTTCATTTGGAAGAATTTGCAGGGCTGTGTATGTGGGTTGCACTGAGTAATTCAGCCTGTATTTTGCAGAGGCATTGAGTTTACCATTTTTTTTGTAGCCAAATAGAGTAGGGTAGGAATTGCCCTATTATTTTTTTTGGGGGGGGGGATGAACCTGAACTGTGAAATGAGTTTGGAGCTTTGGGTTGGGACAGCTTCTCCTACAAGGGATCATCTTTGTGTGGATGTACTACTTTGTTATTTAATATGACTGATTAATTTTGTTCATTGTGCTTGTTGGGATGGCCAGGTAGGACAAACAAAAGCAACGTGAGATTCTTGGCGTTTTAGCTGGGGCCGGGGACTAAAACAGATAACTGATTTAAAAGGGTGATTTCAAAAGTACAAGGTAGTGAGGGCAGGGTCTAGGTTAATACTCCAGGCTTGGAGAAGAATCTGGAGCCATCCAGGGGTTGTGTGAAAGAAGGGAAAGGAAGAGGAGAAGGGGAAGAAAAGAAAGGGAGAGAAAGTAAGGGAAGAACTGGAGGGAAGGGAAGATGCCGGAAGAGGAAGGAGAGGGAGAAGTAATGAGATTAGGGCTGGAAATGGCATGAGAGAGAGGCCACGGGGAGCTGCGGCCTTCACCTCCTGTCAAGCTGTGTTCCAGCAAAAGCATAAATCTGCTGACTTCTTCCTTCGGCTCCTCTCATTTGTCTTGGTGACCGCCTCCCAAGAGCCGTGAACACAGGGACATAGCTGATAGAAACCCAAGTCATAAGTTCCCCAGGCCACAGAGGAGAGTGGAAAGCAGTAAAGGGACCACGTGAGAGAGTGGAGGCTGTGAGCCTCAGGCCGTAAAGTGTCCGCATCATTGCCACAAGTGATTCGATTCATTCACTCCACATGTGTTTAGTAAGCCATAAATGCTTCCTTCTGGGGATAGGTACAGCAGGTGACTGAGACAGCAGCCCTGACCCCCAGGAATATCGTGGGGGAGGCAGGCAAAGAGTAAAATGAAAACTGGAATGGCGGCATGTTGCTGAGGAACTGGGGCTGGAGACAAGAACCCTTCTAGAGGATTGGGAAGATCTCCGCGGAGAGGCAAGGGGTTAAAGTCTTCCTGAAGGAAGATGGGATTGAACTAACAGAAAGGTGAGAAGACTCAGTCATTGAATGTCATGGAGGAGAACATGTGGCTTCTGGAACCGTGCGGCCTTTCCCCTGAGCAGGCTTACAGGAGTACAGGAAGAGAGGAGGTAAAACAGAGAGAGGCAGGCTGGCCTCTACCATATGAAGACGTCAGCCATGGGACGGAATCCATCCAACAGCATCAAGGAGCTACCGATGGTTTCTGAAAAGAAAAATAACAATGACAACAAAAAAACGTTGTCAAATACAAAACCAGACACAGGTAAGACTAATGGGAGAAAGTCACGATGGCAGAGTCTCTCTGTCGATGTCTTCAGTGACAACACAGAACTTCCTCAAAGACAAAGATTGTTGAGCAAGCCAACTTCCTAATTCATTTCTGAGAAAATGAGGATAGGCTTTGCAACTTCCAGGTCAACTGAAATGGGGTGCTTAAATAACCAGATGACGAAATCAATCTCCAAATAGTCAGCAGAGCAGCTGCTCAGAAAGCCTGGGTCAGTCATCGACCGTATGTTTAATATAATTTCCTAGAACACTGAGAGTCAGACTGAAGGAAGCACCCTGTCACAGCCTGTCCCACCCAGAAGACTCCCAGAACTGAAAAGATGGAGGAAAGTGAGTGACACAGAGTGGCAAACCCTTTCCTTCCTGCTCTCCTCACTGAGTGCCCTAAGATAGGAGACTAACAGTGCACACCACAGCACACCATGGACAAGAAAGGACAAGGTCTGCCAAGCGCTGGCGCTCTTTCTTAACCATAATGTGGAGGGTCAATAGATGTGTAACACCTACAAATTCACCTCTGGCTTTTGAAGATAATTAAGGACTAACCCATCCCCCGTTCCACTGCCACCACCTCATATTCATTCTCTGTAAAAGCAGGTCTCAGAACTACCATTTATACAACTTGCATTACTGATTATGGCATCGTGGGACAACAGAGTAAGAGGGAAGGATTAGAGAAAAAAAGACAGGTGTAAAGAATAAGTTTCTAAAACTGAAGGAGGAATTTTACTGTAAAAGCAAAATGCTAAATATAAATTTGAGAAGGATGTTCTATATAGGTTTGTCACCTACCTACCTGTCAATCATCTATCTTTTTTTTTTTTATCTAAACTGCATGAAATCCCATAAGAAGTTGGGTCAATAGCAGTAAGGATGACAGACAGGGCAAACAAAACCCAGAGTGGGTAGCTGGCATGTTGCGGAGGAACTGAGGTTATGGAGGAGTTGAGGGAATCTAGAAGACACAATCAGGACCACGTAGCATGGAGCTCACATAGAAGAAATGGTTCCCTCTTCAGAGGGCTTTGGGAAAAGGCATCCGGACAGACTCAGCCAAGTTTGTCACTGGTAAAATCCCGTAAATGCTGAAACTCTTTTCTAAACAGTCTGTTGATTTTGCTCTCAGAGGAACTTAGCTGTTCCCAGAACCTCAAGGCATGGTTCAGCTAAAACAAGATAATTTAGGGAGTGTTCAAAGGAATTCAAGGAAGAGGCTTCTGCTACTGATGACTGAAGTTGCAAACTGCCCAGTGGAAAGGCTAGAGGGCCTGGAGAGAGGTGGGGGTGGGTCAAGGTCTGGAATTGCAGAACCTGCAGTGCAGGTATGATTTCAAGTGTGCGCCAAGAGATACGTAGGGTATATACAAAGACAGGCAAACATCACGCCACTTTGCATAAGAGGCTTGGGCACCTGGGATACTGGGGTCCTTCAAAATCCTAGACCAATACCCCTCCAACAGCGGGGGATCATTTCAGTTCCGATTGTGCCTTGCGTTGGGGACTGGTCACTTCAGCACTTTCAGGAAACAGGTTGCATAGCATGGCTGCCTCAGGGAATGGTCTTCTCAGGAACCGAAAACTATAGGCCTGCTTTATATTTCATCTTCCATGACTTTAAGACTGAAGACCTGCTGGCAGTGCCATCAAGAACCCATGTCAACTTCTGTAGTTAATGAGATCACAGTGACTGCAGATATTAAAAATGTAGAGGTGTGTGTGTGTGTGTGTGTGTGTGTGTGTGTGTGTGTGTGTGTGGTGTACAAGTGCTCATGCGGACTACATAGAAAAGGTTACCAAGAGAAAAGAGAGAAGGTTTGTCATATGGCCAAACACAGCACACATCCATGAGAGAGCTGAATTCAGCAAACAGCAAACTACTGTGGACTCATTAATTTAGGACGAGTGTATGTATGTAGATTCATAAAAACATACCCACCCTGGAAAAATAGCAGGAAGCATTCTCCTTAGTGATGAAAACAATCAGTCCATTTATACCATAGCACTGTATTCGAGTTGAAGCAGGGCTTACACCGTAATGAGTGTTTAAGGACCTAACAATTGCTGCTTCCTCCTCCAGACTCAGCGGTGGCTTGCCTCAGTGCTGCTAACAGCCACCCTCAGATAATATTGCCAAAATTACAAGTTAGCAATTACTGATTTATTTTTCTTTTTTACAGGAAGAACTAAAAAGGCTACAGAATCCTTTAGAACAAGTGGATGATGGAAAATACTTGCTTGAGAAGTAAGTAAGAGTTCAAAGGAAGTTAAACTATTTGCAAGCTTGAAGAGATGACACGAAAAATAAATCCTGACCAGGCAAAGTGAACAAGCAATTTTGACAGTTGCATATGGTGTCTTTTGGCTAAGAAGTATGCTGTGTTTGAGAGACAGTTAGACAGCTTAGGGCTGGTCCCGCTGCTTAGCTGCACAATGAAATGCATAGACGCCCGCTGTAAAGGTCCGAGAGCCTGAAGCTTGTCTCATTTTCTGCTTGGTTTTAGTCACAAGAGGCAAGCATAATTTTGGACACAAGGCGAGGACAAGCTAGGCTAATAGAGTGTACATTCAAAATAGCACTTCAACGTGAAATAAAATTAAAAACAGAAAGATAAAAGTATCTTACAGTTACATTTTGAAATCAAATGCTATTCAGAGTGTATGAAAATTCTATCCTGATTTCAACTTGAGGCCAAAGACTTCAAGGGTTTATCAAACTTTAGCATGGCTTGTAAGGATTCTGAAACATTAACGTATCCAACTGATGAACAAGGACGGTTCATCAAGACAAAGGTAGAGAAGATAGCCATCTGTTACTGAGGACTTACAATGCAGTCTGAATTACTAAAGCTTAACATGCCTTTGCTCAACAGATTCGGACTCTGGCCTTTGACATAGGCAGGCTTAGGACCTCTTCACCAATAAACGAGGAGACTCAGAGAAGGGTCAGTTATAGTCCCAGTATACTCAGCTGGTTACCAGTATATTAAACTGGTTACTGGTATATTCTGCTGGTTAGTTAGTACAGATGAGGATGAAACCTGGCTCTGGAGGCCTCTTTACGTCAACCATCAGCTGAATCCTCAACTGAGTCCTCACATACCACCGGCATGGATGCATGTCCTGTGGGGTTCTGGACACTAAAGAAGAATGTTTGTATCCTCGAGAACACAAAAGTAGGTAAATTGCAACCACGAGAGCTCTCAAGTCACACAAACGGCTACAAAGAAGTAAGGACGAGGGGCTTGGGGAAAAGAAGGAGACTCTCAGCAGGAACACAATGGCTGTTGTTAAACGCTTGCAGGGATGGTCCTTAAGGAGCAGCTAAGTTGCTCTTCTGTTCTAGAAAGCGGAACAATGATTAGGGAGCAGGGTTTATGGAAACAGCCATGTTAGTAACAAGAAGGACAGTGATTTTGAAGAGCCATCTTGAGCCACACCAGAACAGACGTTTTCGTTCAAAATTGAGTGACAGGCACAAAGTGTGTCCTAGAAGAGAGTAATGAAAACACTCAGGGTGTAGAAAAGACTCCTGTAGGTGCAGCACCTCAGGTGTGGTTTCTCTTGCAGCCTTTTCCTGCCCCTGTGACTCTGGATGCACCATTTAACCATCAGAGCCCCAGGGTCAAGCATCTTTAGAGAGATTTCATTGCTGGCTGGGAAATCTTCCTGAAGGCATCAAATGAGACAATGGGAGCCTCGGTGCCAGCTCCCTGCCCTTTCCATCTGGCTGGATGTTTGGACAGGGACTCTCAGATTTTTCCGTTTCTGTGGTCTATGGCCTTGCCATGTCATCACTGAAGGAAAGTTTTCTCGCTATTGGTTAGATGAAGTTTTTGAGTTGCTTGCTCATTTGATTTAGGGCATTATTGTTATGCCTGGCCTCATAAGATGAGTAAATAAGAATAAAGGAACTTATCCATTATGGAAAATGCTGTGAAAGTCCCTCAAAACTTACAAAGTAGAACTACTTCATGATCTAGAAATTCCATTACTAAATATACATCCAAAGAAATGAGAAGAGTCTACCAAGAGACTCCCACGCCTTCTGCAGCATGGCTTAACACCACCAAGACATGGAGGCAGCCTCAAGGGCAGTGAGCAGATAAAGACAGTGTGCTCATAGATAGAATGGAATATTATGCATCCACAAAATAAAATCCTGTCATTTGTTATAATACGGATAAGCTCGGAGAGACTCTATTAAATAAACAAGCCAGGTGCTGGAAGAACCCTTTCAACTCATGGGAGTGGAGAATGGAATGGAGTTTCCACAGGCCGGGGGGGAGGGGGAGGCAGCCCAGAGGGGTGGGGAAGTGCGTACTAACGATGCACTTTGGTATATTTCAAAAGAATGCCAGAAGAAGTTATAGTAAAAAAATTATCATAAAGAAATGATAATACGTTCGAGAGGACAGATTAAAGTAATTTAAATACCAAACGATGTTTGCCTATTTGGAAAATATCACATTAATGCATATGATTTAGAAACTTACTTGTCTGTGTGAGCCTCTGTGTACATGAGTCTTTGCACACATGTGTGTGCGTGCTAACTCCTGTACGGGGGCATGGAGTCTAGAAGAAGGCTCTGAGCCTCCTCCCATTTCTCTGTTTATTCCTTTGAATAGGGTCTGTCTCTCCACAGACCTTTGGCCAGTGTTTTCTTGACTAGGATGAAATCATGAGGACCCCAAAGGTCGTCCTGTCTCTATCTAGCTTGTGGGAGCTGAAGTTACAGGGATGTACCAGGCTCTGTGTTTGTCTCAGAAATCCTGGTGTCAGATCCTAGGCCTCATGACGGCACAACAAGTATTTGTAACAGCTGAGCCACCTGCCAACCTTAACATGTCCAAGGATTACTTATTAGTTGAAAATAAACTTAATTTTAAAACTAGTTAATCCTTCCTTATGAACACGTTCACCAGGTATATGTAACCAATAATAATGATGATTTTGGCTCATTCTGGAAAGGTTGTTCTTCTATGGAGTCTCATGTTGCAATGACATGAGCTCTAACTAGGCTTCTTCATCTAGGTATTTAGAGTCAGCTTAACAAAAATGTTCTGACTCAAGCCCTACCCCAGACAAATTGGATCTGCAGTCCTGGAGACAGCATTTGGCCTCTTCAAGTGGTTCTGAGGAGGAGCTGGGGTGAGGACCAGTGCGCCGCTTTTCTTTTCAGTCGGGGCAGTCACTCAGAAACAACCAGAGCAGCCACGCTCTCTGAGGATGCACTGCCTCTGTGACGTTCAGCCCGTTCCTTCATCCAACCTGGCTACATCTGGCTTTCATTATTGATTTAAATGTAGGAAATGAACTCCAAAAGTTGTTTTTTTTTTTCTTTCCTTGCTAATTGACCACAACTCCCTATTAAATCTCTCAGTACAACCAACATGAAAATTCCCCAGCTCTCTGCTCTCAGGAGGACATGTGGACATTGGTGAAGTACGTGTGTGTGTGTGGGCGGGGGGGACTTGTTCCCTCACCCTTCCCTCACTCCTCTCCCACTCCTCTCCGTCAATGCCAGCTTATTCTTTCTCTTGTGCCAGCCAGAGACCCAGGAAAGCTAAAAGCTGCTGAGAATGGCCTGGCTGTCTTGCAAATTTGTTCTGTTCTCTTGTGAGGATGGAAGATTCTAGGGATGGGAATTGGTTCCCCTCAAAGAACACAGAGAAGCACAAGTCCTACCACACAGGGAAAAGTTTCAAAAGAAACTGTCTCTTTCCTGCTTATCAATTACAGAGGGAAAAAAAAATGCAATGGGCACCGGACCACAACATTTACACGGATTTACTTGCTACATTTGCATAGATTGCTGGAAATTTTTCCTGGTCTACTTCCAGGCCGCACTGTGTCCTTGATAACTGTCAGAGTTGATTGAAAAACCTCGGGTGCTTCAAGAGAGCAGTCCAGGCATTTCGTTACAGCTGTAGCTGACTTAGGTGTCGATGTAAATCACCTCTGCTATTCAAAATGACCGTAAGTTAAGTGATCATGGTGTCATTGCCGTTGATCGGTTATTCCCCCTTGGAATATCACGTTTATTCCAAGTGCTCAACAGGGTTTTGTTGTAGACAGTGTGAAGGGCAGGGAGGCTACAGCTCCATACCGTGGAAGGCCGGTTGAGAGCATTTACCTCCACATGCATGCATGCGCACATGTGCACACATGCACACACATACACACAGGCACCATAGAGCTTGGCTCGTGTCCAAAAATAGAGGCAATTAATTGGTACGCTATTAATTAGGAGGCTTCTTGGGAGTTGATTGTTAATGATAATTACTTATTAACTTATGTAAGACCTTAGTCTTGAGTGCCTTGCTTTTTTGTGATTATTGAACCAGGCTCTTTCTCTGGTGGAAGACTTGTGATTACTTGTTCCACCATTGTACTGATATATAATGACTTGATTAACCATAGGAAACTATTGATAAGATGCTCTAGTACTAGCTAGCTTAAGCCAATAGATGTTTGTCACTTATAGCTTGTTGGCGATGTGTAATTTATAAGCCAAAATTAGGCCATATCGGTATTTTCTTTATTAAGCAAAAATTCACTATGATTGTCTTTGATGATCGCAGGCTATATTCCCTATTTTGCAGGTACTCTTCGCAAATTTGCTAATTGGTAATTAATGGAATGCTTAATAGAATCAAGCTTTAAAAAACCCTGGTTAAAAGGCTGCTACCCCTACCAGATCATGTGATTGCGAAGTGCATCACTGTATGATCCTCTTCCCTGGATGAGGTCCATTTATGCCTCCTCTTTAAAGATAACATTGATTACACTTACACATCATCATACACATTGCGCACATTTATAATACACACCTCCCAGGCTGAAAGAACAGGGACTATGGTTAGTGTTTTCACCGTTTTGACCCCATGCTTTGAATCATTCCTGGGGCACACATGGCTGGATAATAAAGAATTAACAGCAAATGCTGCAAACTGGTGCCGCAGAGTAAAAGAAGGTTTTTCTACCTCTCACCCGTCAGGCGGTGCCGCAGCAGAGCTCTTTTGGGCTCGTGGCACCACCTAGTGGTCGTAGAGAATTCGCCTGTCTGGTCACGGTTCCTCACTGGGAGGCTGAAGGAAGACAAACCCACGTGACGCTAAAGGGTTAGCGCTAGGACATGTTCCTCCTTCTGTGCCCCCGTTCTTTCCTGCGGTCTCTGTCAGGGTTCTCATTCATTTGAGTGGCCTTTTAGCTAGTTTATCTGCGTTTCCTTGATGAATCCCCTGCACCAGTCTCGATGTTTCCCTCCAAACTCCCTGCTCTAAATCTTTGCTGCCCGGCAGCACTGGCTTGCTTACTGGAGGTCCCCGAATACTGGTGGCATTTCACAACTTGGTAGGACACCACTGGCCTTTGAAGGAACCTAGACACACAAAAATATCAAAGTACTGCATTAATTTTGTCAGACACACACACACACACACACACACACACCTGTTGGGGACCAGCCTCGACAAAAACACCGCTCACCAGGGTAGAGGCATGGAGATTTAGAAGTATAGTAAAGAATATGAAGACATGAATGAAAATAATAAAACGGAGAAACATGGAATAGTATCGAGAGGGAGTTCCAGTGAGTAGTGAAAATTCACCCGCATTTAATTTCCAACTGCTTAAAATACCCCTGCCCCCAAAAGGTAGGAGTAAGACAAAAAACTTGCTTCAACACGATCTAAGGAAATGAACAGACCAGTTGAAGGTTGTGGGCTACAGCCATAGTTAAACATTCTGTTGCTGGAACAGAACAAGTCACGCTCACACCCTAGAACAACACCTTCTGTAGGCAAACCAACCCCTGGGTGGAATCCAAAGTTATCTCCTTAAGGGAGCAGGAACTTAGTTGGATCCTTAGACTTTTGTTTGAAGTAGAAACAGGTTTCCTTCTCTATTCCTGGAGCACGAGGGCTGGCTATTAGCCACACCTGTTGGCGATAACCTTGAGAGAGGCCAACTCTCTGGTCTACACCTAGGTGGGATTTTTGAGGTAGAAGCACAATGACCTTGAAGGAACTAGAGGTGAGTTCCAACTCTGACCTTTGGTCACCGCGGAAACGGGCTCACATCTTTGGGCTCCCCACACCTCTTGCCTGTACTTTACAAAGGATGCCCTAGTTTGATTTTCTGTTGCCGTGATGAAGCACTGACTGGAAACAGCTTGGGGAAGTAAAGGTTCTTTACAACTCCTGGGTAACCGAGCTGTCTTTGTGAGAAATCAGCTCAAGGCAAAAACCGGGAGGCAAGGACTGTAGTAGAGACCCTTTGCCTAGAGGAATGCTTTTCCTGATCTAATTTCCAGCTCATGGTCAGCTACCTCCCATGCCCACCTGCCCAGGGGTGGCACTGCCCACAGTGGAGCAGACCCTTTCACATCAATCGATAATCAAGGAAATGCCCCCACATACACGCCAACAGGCCAATCTGACAGAGGTCCTTTTTCTGTTGAGGTTCTCTCTTCCCGTAGGACTCTAACTGTGTGCCCAATTGACAGGCAACTAGCCAGCAGAACAGGCATGGGTCCTGGACAGTGCTGAAGAAAACTATAAAAGACTCAACCTCTCAACTGCATTCGGTTGGAGCAAGTATCTCAAGACTGGTATCAGCTCTTCCAGCCAGTGTCTTGCAAGGGATGAGTAGCAAGACAGGGTCCGTACAGTTCTAGCAGCAGTGTGAAATAAACTTCACTGAACTTTGGGTTTCCCAGCTACATTATGACAGTGGAATCTTTGCATTTCCTGCCTACTCCATATCATGTCTTTCTAGCCTTCCCCTTTGACATCCACTTCTGCTAAATTACCTCCGCTTTATGTTTCCTATTATTTCACTCTCAACTTTGCATCCGCTCTGCAAAACCTAGCCAAGGACAGCCTTCAGCCTGGCCAGTGAGCAGCCAGTCAGGGGCCACAACATCCACAAGAAGCTGTGACAATGGGACTCACAGCTCATGCTCTCCTCGGTGTGAGCTCAGAAACAGCTTAGTGGTTTCTGTAACGAAGGGAGAAGTTGCTTGGCAGTGGTGTCCTTGAGGATAAATAAGGGATAGAAATAAGAAGAAAGTAAGAGTTAAACTGAGTTTTCTTCAACTGCCCAGTCATTTCAGAGTGTGTACTATTCTCCTTCGGTCTACCCTCTCTAGGAAAGATCTTCATTTCTTCTTTATTTATCCCCAAAAGGCCATTTTTTTATGCATTAGCTGGGAACATTTTGTTGAGTAGCTGAGAACACAGGATAGAAGAGGCACCAGAGAAAGGCAGTATTTTCTTTCTAGAGTGAGGTCACCAGTGTTTAGGATTCTGTTAATAAATCCACATCACCTTTTTAAAAAACCACGTGAGTTTGGAGTGTTTTCACTGTGAAGAACAACTTCCGGGGTTGAGTTACTGACGAGCTCTTTCTCTTTCTAGTCACCAGCTGGCCATGGATGTGGAGAACAACATTGAGAAGTTCCCCCTCAGCCTACAGCCCTTGGAGTCAAAAGTGAAAATGTGAGTCCTTGCAGAGTTACACGAATCAATTCATTCTGCAGGTGTGTGTGCATCTGTACCCCTGAACACACTCAGAGTGCATCGGCACCAAACCACTCTCCTCTCCATTTCTCATTTGCGTGCTACAGGTCCAGTCAGGGCTGAGGCAGAAACCAAGCTGCTTCTAGCCTACACCACCATCTGTGGGTGATGGTAGGTAGTATTTGATGGAATATTCACTCAATTTGGGGTTTTCCTTCAGGTCTCGTACAGCTCTTCCTATCATATTTCATTCTTCCATCTTGTCCTTGAGGCCCCACCTTCCATGTGTGTGAAACCAAGGCCCTCTAACACCCTTCTTACTTCCTGATTCCATTCCCACCACCAGTGTTGGGGGGAAAACACATCTTCCCCACTCTTACGACGGTGGATGATGCTTCTGCACAGTCTCACCCAATAAAGACCAGTGTGAGGCCACCTCCTGCTCTAAGTGACGATAACAATGAAACTCTCCTAATCCCACTGCAGCATCAATAAAATGACACTAGCAAAGTGAAGCGAACCCTATTATAAGGTAATGAGGGCTTTTTGGGGGCCAGCCTCAATGCCCTTTTAAGGTCTAAATTGGAAGCTACAAGAAATGAAAGGGACTTTTTCCTCTGGCTAACCTGAGGGTGAACAAGGTCTTGTGTGCTTTTCCAAATCAGTCTCTTTATTCATCTGCATCTATTCCAATTCTGTTATCCTACTTCCAATTTCTCCTAGCTTTTTCTCCTCTCTTCTTCTCTCCCCAGTCCCAAAGCTTTCTTTTTTCCATGAGCCTTGAAGAGATAAAGAAAACATAAAAGTTGTCTCTCATTGGTCAAAAGCACATTCCCAGGGCAAGCGATAGGGAGTTGAGCCATTGCCATGGCAACACAAGGGTCCATGGTTACTGAAATGAGATCAGCTTTGAGACATTGGTCTTTTGTTAACAGAGTGGCAAGCCCAGAATTGCCATGCTTTTCTTCTAACCTTGGTTAGACATCTGCAACTCTGACCTTGTGCATAGCTGCAAAGTTCCAAACTTATGATCTATTTACGAAAAGCCTTTAGTTTAGTTTGAACTTGCTCTGAGGTGAAAGTGAGCTAATCGTGTGCAGTTAGTCTGAGCCAAAAGGAACAAAGCAGGCTCTTAAGTGTCTACAGTCTTCATGGGACAAATAGATCTAGTTATGAAGCATGTCCTAATATATATGTTCTATATATCAAAACCATAAAGCTAAAGGAAAAGTCATCTTTCTGACCACCCACAGATATATGTGCCCGTAAGATGGAGATGTAATCTTAAGACTACATACACACATCACATGAGATTATACACTTCAATGACGGTAGTTTGGGGAGACACCAAATTGCTTAAGCAGAATGACCGACAGCTTCCAAAGTTTATGGCCCTTGCCCAGACAGGATTAACCTCTATCAGATAAGCTTTCCTCTGGTGGGGTGACATCAGAACACTAGGTGCCACCTGCTGTAACTCTCATGGCCCCTGACAATAAGACAACTTATCAACTTTTTAAAGGTATTCTTAAATAGAGAAGGAAGCTATCAGAATCTCACTGTGCCACAGAGTATCCCCTTCATGACTAATTTCTGTGCTGAAGGATACTCCGAGTCTCACTCAGAGGCATAAACAAGAATTACCAATGCTGGTTGGTACATGCAATCTTCCATTCCCCATTAAAACCCCAAAAGTTTAACACCCACAGAGTTTAAACGTGTCTGAACTTGAGAACCACAGATCATTTGCAGAGAAGCCCGAGGAAGAAGGGTGTGTGTGTGGATATGAATTTGAACAGTAATTCATTCCCTGATGAAGGCATTTAGCCAGGAATGGAATGACAGATTTATGGTATCCTGACGAGTGAAGAGGGACGTCCATACCGCTGTGAGTCTGCGCCAGCCTTACACATCCTTAAGAAGATGGCCATCGTGTGAGCATCCAGCCTACTCTTCAGGATCAGCCCAGAGGCAGCTTCTGAACCAGCCAGGTGTCCTGCTAGGAAGCTCTGTGCCTTGCTTCCTGATAGAAGGAATCTGGCTATTGAACATTTTGAAGTGCGAGCACAGGTTGCCGGGGTGTTAGGAATCTTTTTAAGATGAGGTCGTTTTAAATGAGATGTTGCTACAGAGGAAAGCTGCCATATGGGGGAAAACATGAAAGAATCATTGGACGATAGAAATAAGTTAGGAAATGTTTTTAAGTTTTATTTTTAAGTTTTCATCATCTTTAATATATCAAGGTAGAGGAGTGGGTGCCAAGAGGAGGAATAAGTAGAGAAAAAAAAATTCAAATCTCTCGAAATCTCTCGGTTTGTGAGTCAGCCCGCTGAGAGAGCTGAGGCCTTGTGAGTTTATGCTTGCTGGTTTGCTGGAGGAGTCTCAGCTCAGTGAAGTATAAATTAATGCTTTTTATCTCTCCTAATAACTCAGAATCCCATTTCCAGTCACTGATGGGGGCTGAGGGGAGAGAGCTTAGTCTTGCCCAATAATGGAATTTGAGTCCTATCAGAGAATTTACTCCAGCTCAGTGAGTTTTGTCTAATTTGGTTATTAAATTTGTAATTTCCATATCTTCCCTACACACACACACACACACACAAAGAGAGAGAAAGAGAGAGGGAGAGAGGGAGAGAGGGAGAGGGGGAGGGAGAGGGAGACAGACAGACAGACACACACACACAGAGTGCATGTCCTATTGACTACACCTTCACCTCCTCTATGCCCACCTCCCTCCCTTCCCTGCTCCTTCCCTGTTCTTCTTTCTACTGTAGGCTGTTCTACCTCCCCTGTGCTAAACCCCTGGGTTTCCTGCCAATGGTGAGCACTCGGGCTTCTAGGCAGCTGTCTCCTTTAAAGTGGCTCCAAGGCTTGGAATCTTGGAGAATGGGACCACAGGGCCCCCCCTCCCCCAGGAGCCCTCACAAAGCAGAGTTTTACCTGCTCATCGGCTGAGTTTCTTGTTCTTCTAAGCATATCTTTTGTGACAACCTTCCCTGCAAACCTTGGCATCCTTACAGGGGAGGCATGGCCGTCCTTGCTTTCCAAGGGACAGGTGTTCAGGCATGAAGAGAACTAATACAACTTACAGGGGAGGCACGGCCGTCCTTGCTTTCCAAGGGACAGGTGTTCGGGCATGAAGAGAACTAATACAAGGGCCTTTGTCTGAGCTCTCAGAGTCACCCTCCAAAGTCACAGGCTTTGTCTTAGGGCTCCTGACCTCTTTTGGTAGTGACAACGTAAACATCTCCCTTCTCCCGATGAAAGAGAAGAAGAAGGGTCTTTTTCTCACACAATCATCTGGGGACGTACCCCTCCTACCTGATGAAGACATACTGTAGGCTCCAGGGCAGGGTACAACCGACTGACGGGGAGCCCTGAACCGCAAAGGCCGACAGACGCTCAGATCACAAAGACAAGCAAGAGGAGAATTTGTCTCAGTGTGGGCAGCTTGTCCTGTGTGAGTGTGAACCCCAGCATGGACTGTGGAGCAGGACAAGATCCCTTCTGTTGGCTTCTCAAACTCTAGACCTTGCGAAAAGGAAAGCATTTGAAAGAAGGGCCAAACCAGGCATTTGGTAGGGCAAAGTCAGAAGAAGGAAGTGGAGGCCTCAATAAGTGACCCACTAAGAGGGAGAAGAAAGGGAGGGAGGGAGGGAGAGAGATAAGGAGAAAGGGAGGAAGGGAGAGAGAGAGAAGGAGATTAAAGTGCCAACAAAGGACATTACCTACCTCACACATCTGTTAAGAGGTCATTCTGAGTTTTAGACTTGGATGATCGATGAACTATGTCAAGAGGAAAATAATCAGGACCACACAGGATTCATGGAAGGCATTTGGGGGCAGCGAAGGGCAGGTTCCCCACACACCAGGAAAGAGCAAACCTCCATCAGACAGCCAAGTGAATTCACCAGATGAGGGATGCCAGCACATCCCGAGGAGTCTGGCTGAGCCTTCCCTGAGTGGAGGCTAGAACGGGTTGGTCACGAAAGTGTGCAACGAGTGAGTAGCAAAGTCCTGAGTCAAAAGGAGGAGGGGACCCCTCAGACCCCCGAGAGTCATCCTTCATGTCTGGGCCACAGTTTACAAAAGGAGGAGGGGACCCCTCAGACTCCCGAGAGTCATCCTTCATGTCTGGGCCACAGTTTACAGGCTATAGGTGAATATCAAAAAATTCCTTCCAATTTAAACCACTATTTATGCTTTGATAATATTTTATGATAGAACGACATATTGGTATATTGAACATTAATCACTTTTTCATTTGAAAATGTATTTGACAAGTTGCAAGGGGGAAAAAATTCCTGTTGAGATTTCAGAATTTGTGAGACTATTTCATTAAAAAAAAAAAAGGCATTAAATCTCATTACTTAAGCACAATCTTGGCTTACTTATGCTAGTTAGTTTATATCAGCTGGACACAAGCCAGAGTCACCTGGGAAGAGAGACCCTCAGTTGAGGAATCACCTTCATTGAGTGGCCTGTGGGCATTTGGGGAAGCATTTTCTTGGTTAATGACTCATGTCAGAGTTCACCATGACCCAGCTGACGCAAGGTGGTGCCATACCTTGGCGGACAGTCTTAAGTGATACGAGAAGTCAAGAGAAGCAAGCTCACAAGCGGCATTCTCCAGGTTCTCTGCTTCAGTTCTTGCCTCCAGGTTCAGGCCCTGAGTTCCTATTCTGGCTTCTCTCGATGACGGACCCATGTGCTGAAAGAAACCCCATCCTCCCAAAGTTGCTTTTGGGCAGTGTTTTATCACAGCAACCGATACACGGCTGCAGCCAAAAGCACAGTATGTAGAAGTTATGTGAAAAGGGCGGTTGAGAGCACAAGCTTTGAATTCAAATCCCAGCCCAGTTCTCACCTCCTGTGAAGCATTGGGAACCCTGGCAGTCTCTGCCTTCCCTGGTGCTCTGCCCCTAACAGGATCATGATGGTTTTCTGGGAGAACAGCAGAGAAAAATATTCAGACTATTCTAGCTATCCTATCCAAATCTGTCTTTTCCAAATGTATTTATACATTCACCTGGTCCTCCAAAAGAAGTTGTGGGTCCTTTGGGGGACCAGAAGAGCACAGGGATGTGGGGTTTACACATCACCTGAAAGCCTTTGCTGCGTCTTTTGTTTTCTGAAGCAATAATGTTGGCTTACCCAGGCCTGCTCTGTGTGTCAAGTGTGAGGCTCAACCATCTGTATGTGTCATCAGCTGCCCTCTTGAAAGAGTTCCTAAGAATGCTTTATTGCATGTTCCTGTTGTGGAAGGGCAAGACGTAGGCCAGACTGTTTAGCATTTTGCTTAAGGCCACAGCTAATGAGAAGTCAGGCCAGTCAGGACCATCTATCATGCTCGACACACTTCCTTGTGAGGTAGAGCTTTTTCTCTGAGCTATTTCTAGGACATGATGTTAGAAAAAACACATTTGTTCATCACTACTCACCATTATCCCGGAACTACCTAGACAGTGATACATATATGTGGGAGGCCATTGCTCGGGGGAATTTAGTCTTGTGGAGGAAACTGGACTTGCTGGGAAAGAGACCCACAGTCTGATAGACGGTTTGATGCCATGTTGGGGAAGCTCTCCTCTGTGCTGGACTCCTGGCTCTCATTTCAGAAGATCTCTGTCGTTCTCATGAAGAGTGTTACAGAATTAAGATCTAGGCTGTCTAAATCGTAACCTGTGAGGGAACCGTCTTCACAGCCTGCTAGCTTCACCAACTTCCCTGGGCCTTCCGCCTGATAGCTATCCTCTTTTCCCGTGTCTTTTTCGCCATCTCTGTCCCCCCTTCAATCTGATCCACCCTCTAGGACCGAGTTCAAATCCCAGAGCTCCCCAAACCTTCTCTGAGCATCTCAGTCCCCCTACGGAAGCCCTCTCTTCTCTCTCCTACCATATTTGGTAGCAATGAGGGTGGTACCCACTGTCATCCCCCTGCTGCAAGATAGACATAAATAAACAGACTTAGATCAGAAGCAGCAAACAGCCTGAGGAAAGAGACAGAAGACCTGAGAGCCAAAAAAAAAAAAAAAAACCTCAAAAAATGTTCAGCTTCTATTACAAATGATGCTTATACTTCAAGATGTTGGACTGAACAAGATATACGCCCTTATTTCAACCAGTTTTTAAAAGCATTATATTGATTGCATAGTTTATTTTTAAAAAATAAAAATGTCAAGGTAGTCTGTATGCTGCATCCATAAGAGAGATTTGCGAGTTGGAATTAAGGTAGAGCTAGCATGAATGGCTGAGCAGCTTCTACGTTCTCTTTTTATCCCCTCCCACAGCAGTTGAAGACGGTACTAACAAGACTCGATATTTAAACACTTTATTATTTGAAGGGCATGGTAGAGGTATTAGTAGTGTTGGCTAAAAACACTTTTCTTGGGCCCAGAGACTACTGATATCGTGACTGCACCATTAAAATATAATAATGTCATAATTTAGTGCAGTAGGCTAATGTGACATAAATGGCTTGCTATTCTTAACCTCTGAAAGAAGACATCATCCAGTCTGCAATGCAGTCTTTAAAACTACAATTATTGAGATCAAGAATAATAGGGTAATATGCTTTCATCTACATAGGATCATTTCTGTGTATTCCACAATGGCTATACTTTAGGTGTTCAAAAATGATACAAAATGTATTAAGGGATTAAGGGGACATAGAGATGTTCTAAAACATATTTTAAAATAGTAAATATATTTTTGTACAATTTAAAAGGCATTAGACATTGTTGCAGAATTTATCAATGAAAGAAGCTGTCTATCCACTTATAAGAAATGAATCCTGCTTTCTTAACCTCCGACTTACAGAAAATTAAAATGTCATCCTCTGGATTCCACAAAACTAAGGAAAGGGGATGCTTAACCAAGTTCACCTTTGCAAAGCCCTCACTTTGAGTTTAGCCAACATTGATTGGGTCGCTAAAGAGTTACACCGCCCCCTGGTGTTCAACATGCCAAAGTGCAGCATCCCTTCAAATTACACCTTTGAATGGTCAAGGCAGGTTTTTTTTTTTTTTTTTTTTTTTTCCTTGGTGTTTGCTTCTTTGTTTTTTAAAACAAAGGCTAGGGAAGGATTCTTTGGAGTCTTATAAACTCTTGGATATTATATGGATCATAAATATATTATTTAACTTTTCACTTCTTTTACATGAAATGTCTTTTGAGACCTTAATGGTCAGTGTTTATCCCAAGTGCCCCTGAAGCATTTGCTAAGCCCCAGAGGACCTCCATAACATCAGATCTCATGATTCGCTGATGGTTTCCAAAAGTTTTTAGCTCTCTAATGAAGACTGTCCCCAAAGAAGCTGTGAGGTGACCAGCCACTTGTAGGTCTTTAAAATTCTGCTTAAAACCTTAAAGCTGAGGAAAAATCAGCAAGGGCGCATTCTGTTCAAGCAGCGAGCAATAAAACAGAGAGCAATTGTCATTCGTAGCAGAGTCAGAGCTTGCTTTAGGGGGCTGAACTGTTTATGATGGACCCTTGTCTTTGTTAGGGTTTTATGGCTGCGAAGAGACACTGTGACCACAGCAACTCTTATAAAAGAAAGCATTTCATTTGAGCTGGCCTACAGGTTCGGGGGTTTATTCCATTGTCACCTGGTGCGGGAAGTCCTTCTGTCTATGTGTTGCTTTTATTGGTTAATAAGGACGCTGCTTTCGGCCAATGGCTTAACAGAGTAAAGCCAGGCTGAAAGAGATATAGAGAGAGTAGGGAGAGTTAGAGAGAAGCCATAGAGCTGCCAGAGGAGAAAGACATTAGCTGCCAGCTGGAACCTTGCTGGTAGGGCATGAGCCTTGTGGTAAAATATAAAATAATAGAAATGGGTTAATTTAAGATACAAGAGTAAGCCAGAAATATGCTTGAGCTATTGGCTAAACACTATTACAAATAATATGGTTTCGGAGTGATTATTTCAGGTCTGGGCAGCTGGGAATGAACAAGCGGACCCCAACACCAGTCACCATGGCGGGAAGCATGGAGGTGTTCAGGCAGACATGGTGCTAAGAGATTCTTTATCTGGATCAGCAGGCAGCAAAGGGAAAGAGAGAGAGAGGGAGGGAGAGGGAGAGAGAGGGAGAGAGAGGGAGAGAGAGAGAGAGAGAGAGAGAGAGAGAGAGAGAGAGAGAGGACTGGGCCTAGCTTGAGCATTTAAAACCTCGAAGCCCACCCTCAGTTACATGCTTCCTCCAACAAAGCCACCACACCTAGTAACACTGACAGTTCCTGGTGACCAGGAATTCAAATATATAAGCCTATCAGGGTTATTTTTTACTCAAACCACCACAGCCGTTAAAACTCTTACTTTAGAATTCTACACAAACCACAAGGAACCTAGAAAAAAGGTCCCAAAAGAGTAATCTGACCTCCAGGCATAAGCCCCTGTTCTTAAGCTCCACAGCTCAAGTCAGGCCTCTGAGACCAAGGCATTGCTTTCATGGTTCCTTCTGGACTTTTCCTTGAATATTATAACTCATAAAACCTCAATTAATTAGGAAAACAATGAAGTCCAATAATATGATGGCATTTTGTGTTCCTTCTATCCACGGGCTATTGAGAATTGATGGTATTCAATTCAGCCTGAGGAAGAGGTATGAGTTTGCTCATAAGTCAATAACTTTAATGACCCAGCTCACATGGGAGAGAGTAGAAGACCTGGTATGTCTAGGCGTCTAGCAGAGGCAGTGACAGATACTAACTTATCACGTTAGAAAACCAAGTCCTGGCAGCTGGTGTGCACGTCCAAATGCCCAGGAAAAGTTCCAGCACCTTCCCTGATGACCCACAAATTGGGACATTTCACTGTCTGAGTGTGGAGCTGGTGGTCCACGAAAAACTCCTTAACTTTAGCTCAGAAACAGGACAGGTGCCTATTTTTCAGGACGGTCTTTTGTTTGTTTGTTTTTTCTGACATTAGCCCCAGGTTAAAAATAATAAACTCCCTAAAGTGAAATAGTAAAAAGCCACCTAAGGACCTGTTACTTTCATGTCTTCCATAGCACAGGACACTCAGAGAGTCTTTATTACCTGTGTCAACCCACAGTGTGTCAAGTAAATGACTGAAATGTTTTTGGGGACTTGTCCCCATGTCAGGGCCACCAGACCACGGCATCTGGCCGTGCAGGCCTCCTGCCCAGTGTTGTGAATGCCACCTTGAGGTCTAGGTGAGTACAGTCCCAGAAGTGTGCTCTGTGGTCTACATCCAGAGCCTTGGCATCGGGTGGACCCTCTGAAGTCATGCAGTGAGGGAATCCATGTATCATCCTCAACTATTCGCTTTTCTCAAAGATGGGAAATTGAAATATTTGTTGTACCCTAAATCCAAGCCCATTTAGTGCCCAAACTACTTTGGCTTTGACTGATGCTCCTCCCTATCCCCCACCCTCCGACCTTTGGCTTAATTGACTTTTTCAGGCTGAGTTAGCCTAGTCAAGTCTGAGAAAGACAGTCTGGTCGGTTTTGCTGTGGTTAGTGCTTTTAAGATCCGGCCTTGATGGCCAAAAAACGCAGCTAAAGCCCAAGTGTTCTTTCTGGAAGCACAATTTATCTTAGAGTTTCTCCATCTCTAAAACCAGTCCCCGCCTCCGTGCCCTTCTGAGTCTGTGGGTGATGACTGGCAGTGTGACATATTGCCGGGTTTCTCCGCAGCATTCAGCGAGCATGGCGAGAGTACTTGCAGAGGCAAGACCCCCTGGAGAAGAGGAGCCCGTCCCCACCCTCCGTCTCCTCAGACAAGCTGAGCAGCTCTGTCAGCATGAACACCTTCTCCGACAGCAGCACACCCGTGAGTGTCCCTGCCAGCTTGCTTGGGCTGGCTTGCGCCGCATATGGATGCCACCCCCCACCCTGCCCCGTGCCGGCTCTTATTTCAAGAAAGATCTTGAGGTGGTTTGTGATGGGGGTGGTGTCTGTACCACAAGGAAACCCACAGTGAGGCTCTTGACATCTTTGAACTAAAGACAAGATTCGTGGGCCCAGAATGAACTTGACCGTGTCCACAGATTTTGTGAGATCGCGTTTCTCTGCCACTGAGGTGGGCGCTGCCTACCCTCCCTGCTTTTCTTATGGTGTGTTGGCTCCGGTATGTGCCTGTGCGATGCTCGGCTGGCTTGAAATGTTGAAGGCGATCCTAGACTGAAATGGGCTGATTGGGGTTGAGTATGCGCATGACTAAATGGGTACCACGTGCCCCTTCCTAACCGGGCTCCAGGAAACCTGCACCTACGTAGGTGCAGGACAGACAGTGAAGGAGCACAGCTCTCCAGGAGGAGATGAGAGAAGTCCAGAGTTTTAAGTGATGCTGATTGAAAGGGAAGCATGGTTTTGTACTCTGAAATTGGCTCGCTGACCACCAGTTATGAACTCTCGGTTAGGACATAAGGTTTTGGAGTGAACGCGTCTGCTCTAAGTCTATGTTTTAAAAAGCGCTAAACGAGGCATGGGCAAACTGGAGATCAGTGAGTTTCGCCATTATGATCGTCTAGTTATAAGCAATCAATGAAATGATAAAAAGTTGGGAAGAAGTGATTATGTAAAGAATGTTATTTTCTTTATTTTTTTTTCCCCCTTGGCTACTTTGCTGTCCTGTGGTTTGTTTTTTTTTTTTTCCCCAGTATTTTAATGAGATCAGGTAAAGGTTACATTCTTGGAAATGTTTTCTGAAGATGGCATGGCTTGGCATGTTATCTGATGGTTTTGTGTGGGTGTGAGTTTTTTAAAAGAAAGAATAAGCTGGCTTTACAGCTGTTGAAGTAGAAGGGGAAGATCTGTTTCCATCTGGCCCCTGACCAGGATCTTTGGAGAAACCTGTCGCTCTCACTGGTATCCCGGCCACTAGAGGGCGCCTGTGAACCACGTTGGGAAATGCTGCGTCTCCAAGTTGGGCAGTGCTCTTGATTTATGAGAAAAAGAGAAAGTGAAAATTGAGTCCTTTGGATGCCTTTGCTGTGAATGCCAATAGAAAATGCAATTAAATGATTCAAAGATTTTTGTATGAAGGACGGAAACTCGATTTCAGAAACCATTTTTATCCGTGGATTAAGGGTTCAGATTTGCCTGCCAAACCTGCGGACCCCCCCTCCAAAATTATTTACATTACAATTCATGACAGTACCAAAATAACAGTAATGAAGTAGCAACAAAAACATTTGTTTTATGGTTTGGGGTGGAGTCATCACAACATGAGGAACTGTATTAAGGGTTGCAGCGTCAGGAAGGTTGAGAATCACTCACTGCAATTCAGGACAATTAGATTGAGTCTGGCAACCCACTGCTTGCATGTGTCTTTAGCCTTTTGGAGTTGTTGAAAGCTTAGATCATATCTTAGCCCTACGTTTTTCACCGATTCAGTGTTTAACCTTTGCACCTCAAGTGTTCTGTAAGTAAACACTGGTTTGTCCGTACCTGTGGGTCTGTCCTCTTTTTTTGTGTCTGTTCATGGCGTTGAGTTCTTTAAACCAGCATAGCCCGTGCGTTCCCTGGATCTTTTTTTCTAATAGAGGAGCTTTGCCTTGTCTAGATGTTTTCTAACAGTTGAGTTTTTCATAAGGGGTGTTGATCAAATGTCATCTTTTAGCTCTGTGGGTTGAGGGACAAAGAAATGTCTAGACATCTAAAAAATAATAGTCAAACAAGTTTTTTAAAAAAAATCATTATTGTCCTCTGCTATCAGAAAGCAAACAGAGACTGCTAGATTCTGATAGAGGTTATTGACTATAACAGTGACTTCCGGATTAGTAATGGCAGTCATCTGACACCAAGTGTACAAAAATAACATGCGAAAGATACATACAGAATATAAGACATAAGCAATGCTCGGTTTGAACTGCTTCCAAGCCTCCAGGCTGCCAGGAAGGCAAACATCCAAGACTTCATTGAACTCCTTCAGTGCTGAGCATCAAGTCTACGTGGGCTCTGAAAGTACTGAACTACATCCCTAGCCCTATAAGGTTTACTGGCTTGAAATGAGTATAGATGGATAAATATTCTCTTCACTTCCATGATTATCACATTGACAGGTTCCCTAACAAGAACGGTATCTTTATATCTTCTGGGGGCTTTGCCACCCACATGGGAACAAAGTAGAAACTGATTTTGATTTACTTTGAGTCACATGCCAGACACGCTGCCCCGACATCCTCAGGAAGGTCACTGGGAGGTTTGGTTTCCTGCTCACTGTGAGTGGGGTGGAAGTTTATGCAAGGCATAGGATGGTCCCTGGTCAAACAAGGACTAAGGCTTTTGTGTGTGGGGTGGGGGTGAAGCAAGGTTTTTCTGTGTAATAGTCCTGGCTGTCCTGGAACTCACTTTGTAGACCAGGCTGGCCTCAAACTCAGAGATATCTGCCTGCCTCTACCTCCTGAGTGCTGGGATTAAAGGTGTGGGCTACCATTGCCTGGTCTAAGGCTGTCTTAAAGACAGGAGGTTCAGCAAATATCATTCTGAATTTGGTGCTTCGAGCAATCAGGTCGCATGCACCCGAGCGTATTATAATTGTGTGGTCTTTACTTCCTCAAGTCCTCAGCCAAAGTTAAATACTATTGGAGAATTTCCTGGGCCTGACAGGTGCTTCTTCTCTTCCATTTTGCTGAACCTACTACTGCCTAGGAAAACCTATTCTCGGTTTTCCTGAGCCTGGTCAACTAACTGCCTGTCTTGTCTCCTGAGCCAGACCAGTTACACTCCACCCCTACTTTGTCACAGCTGCAGTTACTGACTGTCCCAGCTGCCTGTCCCATGTATGGGCGGTTCACGTGAAACCAGCTCCTTGATCCGATTTAATCCGCCCCCTGAAGAAAGAATGGCATTTCTGAGTACTTCTGTTCATTATTTTGGCAATATGTAGCAGGTAATGTAGTTCTCAGAATACATCTGCTTTAAAATACAAAACAGCAGCCACGTACGCACAGGCTCCCAGCTTCAGCTTAAGAAAAGCTGAAGACTTGTGTGCTGAGCCCTTGGCTAACACTTTCCATGGGTTCCTCATCCAGTCCTCTCGAGGACCATATGAAGGAGGCACAATCATTAATTTCCATTTCACAGACGATGAAAATGAGACTTAAAACATAAGTAGCCGTCCTTGGATTATGCATTGGGCTGGAACTCGCAGGCTCCACTTCTCCCATCATTTCCTAACACTTGAAAGCAAGCCCGCATTTAGGCACGGTCAAGCTGGAGGGGTAGCAATCAGCTAACCCATTTGTAAGACGACCCTCCGATTTGATAGCTCTAAACAGTGAATGAAACAATTGGCGGAAAAAAGTCCATCTGATTTTATAAATTGCCTTATTCCATGCTCTTTGATTAAAATCTCAAACCTCAGCTGTTCGGCGCCAAATTAAAGAGCTACAGGAGGGAGGATAATATTAAGTTATGTGGGCAATTTGCATATTAAGTGCCCTCATACTGTAGTGCATCATGTGGTAACTGGGAAGTTTTGTTTGAGAAATAAGAAACTTGAATAGGAACTGCCATTGGGAAATGGAAATTGTAGGTGTCCAAGTGAGAAAGAGTTAACGTTTCGGCCTCTGGAAGGAGAAGAATAATCTGCCATGCCCTTACTGTGTGTGAAATATAATCTCTCAGGAGATGCCTGCTCATGCTAACACAGACACTCAAATCCTGTTTCATTCCCAGAAATTGAAAGTCTTTGGTAAGAGTAACACTAAAATATATGCTTAATTATGTATTCTTTCTATTATGTAGATCACACGTGTGTGTGCGTGCACATTTAAATGTAATGTATACACACCCACATATATTCCTTCTAGGACAAGTTGATTCTGACAAATTCATTTGCAGAATCTCAAGCAGGTCCTGGGCCCAATCAGTACCAAAACACAAACTCCCTTTCTGTACTGTGTAAGCAGGACATTGACTAATAATGTTAGTCAAAAACATGCACTAATTTGCAAGAACAGCAGAGGTTACACCATGTACTTTTTATTAGTCAGACCCCTGGTTTAAAACGCACTTAGTTCTCAGCTCTGAATAATTTGTTATTTGATTAATAGAATACAGTCTCTGAGACTGGTAACCTGTGTAGCACCACTAGCATGTATTCCCGCAAACTCTCCGAGGTGGTTAGGGCGTGGTTTTGTACCATTTGTCTTGACTTTGTCAACAAAATACCTCCTGACCTTTTAACCACGCCTACTTCTTCTTGTTGGGTCTTCTATTATCTTCCTGGAGTTCACCCACGGTTTCCCTGAGTCCAAGACATCTCTTGAGCAGTACTTCTTCATCTGCAACTGGAAGTAACACCCACCTCGCAGATGGATTGGTATTGCTATGAAGATTAAATGGCATGCCATCTGTAAGTCTCAGCATGGAGCCTGGGCCCCCGGGCTCTCAAAGACATGTTTGGTAGAATCTGTTCTTGGTAATATTCAATGCATTTTTCTCATAGCACTGCAGAAAACTTACACAGTACAGAAAGGGAGTTTGTGTTTTGGTACTGATTGGGCCCAGGACCTGCTTGAGATTCTGCAAATGAATTTGTCAGAATCAACTTGTCCTAGAAGGAATATATGTGGGTGTGTATACATTACATTTAAATGTGCACGCACACACACGTGTGATCTACATAATAGAAAGAATACATAATTAAGCATATATTTTAGTGTTACTCTTACCAAAGACTTTCAATTTCTGGGAATGAAACAGGATTTGAGTGTCTGTGTTAGCATGAGCAGGCATCTCCTGAGAGATTATATTTCACACACAGTAAGGGCATGGCAGATTATTCTTCTCCTTCCAGAGGACTATGAAGACTCTTGTCTTCAG